AATATGAGAAACCAAACCATAAATCTCACAATGCAGACCATAACATCCGGTGGTCGTTGACCGTTGACCGGTCAACGAAGACCATTGACCGAACTCCGGTGACCGTTAGTGAGCAGATTCCGACGCCGATAGGCATATTCCGGTCCCGGTGACTAGATTCCGACGCCGGTAAGCATATTCCGACGCCGGTAAGCATATTCCGACTCCGGTAAGCATATTCCGGCCACAAAATAGCATATTCCGGCGACAAAAAACATATTCCGGTGACCGGCGACCATTTTCCGGCGACCGGTGGCAGAATTCCGACGACCAATTTTTTTGGCAGAAAATAAAAAAAAATTATTTTTTTATTTTTTTATTTTTTATTTTTTTATTTAAACATATTTTTCATAATGACAATTATACTCCTGCTTTGATTTTACACTAGGTCAACTCATCTAATAAAAAGTCATCACAATCCTAGCTTCCTATTGGTTGGGGACTAGTGTTGTTACAATAACAACACAATGAGTGTTGTTACAATAACCGATCCCAACCACAATAATGGCCCACATTCAAATCAGTCGAGTGAACTTTCCATTAGTTTCTACTTGCAAGCAAGCCTGCAACTAGGATTCATTCCAACATGTTTCCGTAAGAGGTCACCAAACAATTAATTACTATTGTCAGTTGAAGCTCGGATTGTTATTGTGTTCCCGTGACTGTGATGTTCTTTCCATGCCAAACATAATCCTACCCTGTTCACTTCTATTTTCGTTTCCTGTTTTCTGTTTTCATGTCATAAATTTGGCAAACGAAACGAGAAAACATATTTACTTTTCATTCTGTTTTCTATTCGTTTCCAACTTTGGAAACAGAAAGTGGCAACTTCCTGCTGTTTTCGAAAACGAAAAAATGTCGTTTTCACATGTTTTCAACATCTGTTTTCTCAAAAACAGAAAACAGAAATGAAAGTAGAAAACAAACTTTTCGGTTACAGGTACCACTGTTTGGTTTTCTGATCCTGATTATTCACATGACATTCATATTTCTTCAGCTCTCCTAGTAGCATTTTATCCTCATGTATTATTACAAACAATAAAGATATTCCTATATTATTTATTCCATAAATATATTTTTATACGATTAAAACGTAACAAAAGTATCACTTTATTCAATATTTTGTTAGTTTATTGTTAAAGGGGTAAAATTGACCAAATTATCCATAATTTAATAATTAAAATTTGTTTTTAAATAAAAAACATGACTTATTTAATTGATTACATTTTTTCTTGCTAAATATTTAAATTTCTTTTTAATTTTTATACTTTTTAAGTTTTTAACTTTTTATTTGGTGCTTAAAATATAAAATAATTAAGTTTATCTAATAAGAAAGGTACAATTTGGTCATTCCTTGCCTCCTTCAACGGTCCTTAAACTGGATAATGGATATAAACGTATGTTTGTCAAATTTTGATAATAAAGGAGTACATTTTAGCGTTATCGCATATTTTAAGCATACCGTTAAGTGCGTCTTTGAAACCTAATTTTCAATTTGATTGGTTGAAGCACTAACCATATTCATTAGTGATAGTTCTAAACCATGAATGATGTTCCATAATGAAATATTCGATGAGACTACCAAAATTTTTTTTTGCCAACTACACAAATGAATTGAATTGGAATGTGCAGCTCTTAACATATATCGACAGACATCAAAAGTACTACACTAATAGCCTAATACATTCAATGAAATGAACCTATTCCCCTTTCTTGGTTCTTCCAACTCAAACCGCCAATTTTTAATATATTTCCACGGGCACTATTAAGTGTCAAACAGCACTGTATTAGCAATAATTCACTTTTGAGATGATGGCTTTGTTTCTTGCTAATTACAATTCATTTTGCAAGCTGGAACTCCAATTATTGAACCCTTTTTTGTTGGCTAATAAAGAAATGCCATCGATTTTTGGCAGTGATCAGTGTGATCATTAGACTGAGCTGGTTAGCACAAAGCACTTGTGTTGTGCCAACTCTTTCCTTATGGACTTTGTCTAAAATTTCACTTTCAGCAGAAACACATAAATCTTTCTTCTACTCTACCAGAAAAGAAAGGCCAAGGCCAAGCTTAGCTCTAAAACAAACCTAAACTCTCTTTTGGCTCTTTTTCACTCTTGGGTGGTATTCAACATCTTTTCTGCCTAACAAGGCGGCTTTCATACAAAATTTTCTTTTCCTCTCAAATTCTATATGGTCAAACTGAAACGAACTTGTCATTTTCATAAATTATATTTAAAATGAAAACTAAGAGAAGAGCATGTAAACCATTCTCAATTTTCTTTAATCCTATTTAAATGCAAGAGGGCTGGCGTTCACCTCACTTATTCATGGCGATTCTTTCACATGATACCTCTAGTAATCGACAAGCTTTGCTTCTTATTTGATTAAATTTGATCATTAGAGTCGACATAACTAAATGCCAATCTCTTTAAAGCATTAGTGAGTTGTAAGTTACATTGACTTAACTTATTTGAACTCGTAAGTTTGATATGTTTTACACCATTTCAACACTTTTTTGCCTAACAAGGCGGCTTTCATACAAAACTTTCTTCCCTCTCAAACTCTATATGGTCAAACTAAAAAGAAACTTGTCATTTTCAGAAATTATATTTAAATGAAAACTAAGAGCCGAACATGTAAATCATTCTCAATTCTCTTTAATCCTAATTTAAACGAAAGAGGGCTAGCGCGGCTGACTGGCGAGGGAGATAGATTGTCACACGGAGATCGTGTGTTCGATCTCCCTGCCTTCATCAAGTTGGTGTAACAATCATTGAGTAACACTTATCAGCTAGTTATTATAGATACCATCGTTGATGTCCAGTGAATAAGAGTCCTTCCTCCAAAAAAAAAAAAAAAATCCACACAATTGAAGGAGACTTCTCTTTACTGTCTATTCTCTTCGTACTAACTCGATTATTAATCAAAACATGTTCAAGTCATCAAAGATGAACTTGATTTTTTTTTTCTTTCTGTGTATCCACGATCTGAAAGTGACAAAAAGCTACAAGCAATATTCATAAAGCACCTCCTCCGGTGTTGCAATATGATTGGAGATCAGCTTTCGAAACTTAACATCAACACTAGTGTAATATTAATAACAATAACAATGATAATATCACAATCAACCCATCCATTCCATTCCATACACGGTATTTGGTGATTAGTCTCACTCCACAGATGCTACAGAGCTCTCTCTCTCTCTCTCTCTCTTGTCTTGAGAGTTGAGAGAGACTCAAAAAATGGCAGTGGCGGCAGCTAGCAAGAGAGAGCCACATGGTGTATTGTTAATTGCAACTAAATATCTAGAAAATAAAATCAAAACACGGTGGGTAAAAAGGGCAAAGCACCATTTTCCATTGGATCATTCACAGGACAAGCGAAGAGGACAATCATTCATTATAAAGAGCAACCACAAAATATCCCCACCACCACCGCCCCCTCTTTATAAATATCTCCTCGTTTGTTACGGTCTGCGTTCGGTTACAAAACCTCTTCTCTATAAAATTTCGATCGTATCATCATATTACGATACGATTGAATTTAACAGATTTAGACTTTTGTAAAGTACCCGCTTTTTTTCTTTATTACAATAATAATAATAATAATAATTATTATTATTATAATACATATAACATAATAAAATATGAGATGAATAGTAGCAATTTTGTTGGGATGCATTTGGTGCATTAAGTTAGGTTGTAATGCACTTTTTGACAACTCTATCTCCATGAGAGGAGAGGAGAGGAGAGGAAGCCAAGCAACTTCCTTGCAGCAAAGCAAAGCAAAGCTCTCTCTGTCCTGTGGTGGTACTAAGTACACATTGCCCAGTACAGCTGTCTGGTCTTTGCAAGGAATGGATGAATAAATTAATACACACTACACAAATGTGATAATAATGATAATGTACACCACTTTTTAGCTATACTTTGTTGTTTCTTTGTGATCTCCACTATTATGATTAATTCGAAATATATAATTTGAATAGTTGATCAACTAAGTATCTATTTGTAGTTCAATAGTTTCCAAATTATCTATCATTTTTAATCTTGTAACATAATCTAAGGACGAAAAGGGGTTTACTTTTTTTACTAATTAACCGTGAAAAGGGGATATAATCTTCAAGAGGGTAAGTTTGTATACACGAAAGATATATTATATACAAATCAAAAGTAGATCGATGATGGTGCAGGTTCAGTTTTGGTTTTAACCGAAACAGTTATATATACTTTTAAGTTTTTCTTAATGGCTAAAACTTGTAAGCTTTTAACAATTTCAGTTAAAAACTAAAAAATGTTATTCAATCGATAAGTCTTAACACAATCAAAGATTCTTTTAAAGTTTTGTTAGCTAAAACTTGTTAAGTCTTTATATACTCTCAAATGCCTCCCGTCATATCTAGATCAGAGAGAGAGAGAGAGAGAGAGTCAATAGTGCTAGGATTAACCGAATAGGTAGTATGATCCACATACTCTTATGTTATTTTCTTTGTCAGTCACTCAGTCTAAACGAGTCTTTTATCTAGTGCTTCTATTTAGTTTTGAACTTGTTGAAATAATACGTGATTTGATGATGTGTTTACATAATAATCCTATCTCATAAGACATTTATTTTCGTGCTTTCATAAAATTCAACAAATCAAATCGACTTCAACTAAATTAATATTGTAATTTATATCTAAATAGACTGTACACTCATCATGCGAAGGTACAGTGGACTAGATACATACCATATTCTTCTTCACAATTGATGATACCCTGGTTTTGACAATTGAACGTTATTCAACTCAACTGATCACAATAGCAGGATCTTTGGTGCTCCTGTAAATCTGCTTGATTTGAACAAGATTAACGGCTTTTTAAATGAAACCGACAAGTAAAAAATATGTATATGCCACAAATTAAAAAAATATATTAATTTATGAGAAATACTTTCTGCTACCTCCTATGTTTTATGTCCCTCCTTGCTCCTTGTGCTACTACCGCCACCGCCTTGTTTCCTTCCTCTCTCCTTCCTGCCTTCCATCTCCTGCCCTCTGTTTCCTCTTTCTCTTGTCTCCAGGAAGGGAAAACAAAAGGGTTCAATTCAATAAAGCAAAAGGCAGCAAGCAAGTAGCTTAATAAGTAGCTCTGTGGCAGAAGGAAGCAAAAGCTGAAAGAAAAAAAGAAAGAGAGAGGAGGAGAAGTGGGGAAGTGTTCTTCTTGATCAAGGAGCCTCTTTTATTCAAACCCATCTCCCCAAGTTTCTGCCTTTTCACATTTGTTTCTCTTCCTGGGTCTCTCTACTCTTTCTTCTCTGCTTATCTCACTTCTGAAGCCAAACCCTTCAAAACTGCCCACTCTCTTTGTTCCTTTGCTTTTCTTATACTCTCTCTCTTCTTTTTTTACAATCTTTGGCTCTCTCAGCTGAAAGAGTGAAGCTTAATTGTGTTTGTTTGGAAGTATGACGAGTAAACAAGATGGTATGAAGATGCAGGTAAGCTTTTAATCCTTCTTCTTAGTTCTTACCGTTTCTCCTCACAAATTCTTTTGCTTGTCAGACTCCTAGTCAGTTTTACTGAGAAACCCTCGTTTTTGATTCTGGTCTCGATTCTTGGAAATTTTGCGTTCGGTTTAGTTTTGACTCCTTGCTGAATCTTTTTGTTAATTGGTGCTTTGTTGGCTTATTTAATGGCAGACTTTTGTTCTGAGGGTGAATATTCAGTGTCACTGTGATGGCTGCAAGTCCAAAATCAGGAAGATGCTGCAAAAAACTGATGGTACGTTTTAATGTCTTGGTTGCAGTCGATTTTTGCTGCCTTTTTTTAGGGTGAAATCGTAGCTCATGGTGGATTTGTTTTTAAAACTTCTCGTCCATTCCATTTTGTTGTATATTTTTAGGGGTGTATACAACACAAGTGAACGCTGAACAAGGAAAGGTGACTGTGACTGGGAACGTTGACCCAATGAAGCTCATAAAGAAACTTGAGAAGTCTGGTAAACATGCTGAGATATGGGGAGGTGGAGGAGGAGGAGGGGGAGGGGGAAAAGGGTCAAACAATTTCCAGAACATGGTCAACAACCAGTTCAAGAATATGCAGATGGAGAGTGGGAAAGGAGGAAAAGGAGGCGGTGGAGGAAAAGGCGGCCATCCACAACAACTACAGCAGCAGCACCACCAGATCTTGCAGCAGCAGCAGCAACAGCAGTTCAAAGGGATGCCTAAAGATTTCAAGATGCCACCACAAAGCAAGGACATGAAGTCAGTGAAGTTTAACTTGCAAGGCCAGCATCAGCAGCAGCATAATAACAAGCATGGTGGGTTTGATGATGACTTGGATGACGATGATGATGATTTTGATGACGATGATTTTGACGACGATGATGAGGGTAGCGATTTCGATGATGAGGATGAAGAGTTTGGTCATGGCCAAGGTCATGGTGGACATGCTCAAGTTCCTAACAAGATGATGATGCCTAATAAGATGATGGGTATGGTGGGTAATGGCCATGGAGGACCAATGGGGATGATGAACATAGCTGCGTTGAATGGAGGTCGTGGTGGGAATGGGAAGAAAGGAGGCGGTGGTGGAGAGTTTGAGGCCAGCATGGGTAAGAAAGGTGGTCACTTTGAGAATGGGAAGGGGGACAGTGGAGGGAAGAAGGGTGGAGATAGTGATGGGAAGAAGAACAAAGGAGGTCAAAAACAGGATGGGGGCAAAGACAAGGGTCAAAAGGATGAGAAAAGCAAGAGCAAAGGGGGGATGATTGGTGGGTTGTTTGGCTTCGGAAGCAAGAGCAAGAAAGAGAAAAAATCCCATGATGGGAAAGGTGTCAATCTCTCTGAGTTTGAAGACTTTGGCAGCACCAAGAACAGCAAGGGCAAACATGGTGGTGGTGGAGGAGATGGTACAAAGAAGGGTGCAGCTGCAAACCATCCAGGCAATGGGGCCAAAAAAGGTGGAGGTAAACCAGATGTGGCCCATGATCTCAAACAAATGAAAGGGTTTGGCGAGATGGGTGGTGGTGCCAGAAACATGGGCCAGCAAATGGGCTCGATGAGCAATTATGGTGGAGGAATGGGGGGTATGCCTATGCCTAACCCTCATCATCCTGCTGCTGCAGCAGTGCAAGGTATGCCTGCTGCAATGAATAATGGTGGTCGTGGTGGTGGCAATGGCGGTGGAGGGTACTATAACCCGTATCAAGGAATGGGGCAGCAGGTCAACCCTTACGGACAGCAGCCACAGCAGCAGCAGCAGCAGCAATACATGGAGATGATGATGAATCAACACAGGCAACAAGGGAATGAGATGTACCATCCCATGATGTATTCAAGGCCATATCCTCCAGTGAGCTACATGCCGCCACCTCCAATGCCGGGTCCTCATGTGTCTGACCCTTACTCCCACTTCCTGAGTGACGAGAATGCCAATAGCTGCAATATAATGTGAAAAAAGGCTGAAGAGTGTTTAGTTAAGTGTATGATTTATTATGTCCTCTCTTTTAGTATTAGGTTTTTTTCCCCACTTCTTTCTTGTTCTATGTTGGGGTAGATGATGATATGCCTGATCTCTACTGTAATAGAAAGTAAGAAAGGCCTGCAAACAGCTTGGTAGGTTTTTATGAAGGTTTGCTGCTGATTCTATTTTGTGTTTTGAGAAAGTTGGTAGAAAAATTTTGTACCATTTGCAGCTACCTGCTCCGTTTGACTTGGTGGTGTAAATTCCAGTTTTCATCACTGAAAGTGATGGAATGATATATTATTCGAATGGGTTTAATAATGCAGAGTGCAGTCACTGTTTTGCATCAACTCTGCAGAAAACAAGGTGGTTTGTTAAGACTTAAATTAGGCTTAATCAAACTTAAGGCAACTTGTCTCATTAAATGATATCCTAATTCCTTCCTTGTTCACTTCTGTATTGGGTGATTAATGATAACCTCTTCACTTTACTTTCCATTCACTTGCACTAGTGACATTTGGTTGGAATTTCATCAAGGAGTCATAACCCCAAAGCAAATGACACCCACATCTGTTCCAGCTGCACCAACTTGAGACAAATCTCATCACCTATAAACATAAGTTGCTTTGAACTTAATAATAAGTCGCAGCATTGTCTGTTGACAAACAGCCCCTATTGCTTGGTAACAGCAGGGTAAATCAACTATCATGATTGCTTTAAGGAATCTTGGACATTGAGAATGACAGTAGAATGAAAAGCCAAATACAGATTCCAAGATATATTCTACAAACTAATACAACAAACCTGTAATGGAACTGAACGAGAGAGGGAGAGAGCACATGTTCTCTGAGTTATTAGTTTTCTCATATGAAATCAGAGAAAAAATCTTACAAATCTAAAATATTCCTGTCTCTCTCCCAGCCAATTAGGATGAGCCATTAGAGAACTCGACACCAGTGCCACCAATCTTAACGGTCAGACATTGGAATCCACAGGCTTCTAGCTCTGAGATAACCTTGTCAATTATAGTTCCTGATAGCACTGATTCAAGTAAATCAAGGAAAAACAAAGCAAGATGTAAAATCAGGAAAAAAAAAAAAAACAGTAGAAGAACACATAGAGTTTTTCTTTTGGTGACCATGTGTTATAAAATACATGTATTCTGAATACACAATTTTCAAAATGCATGTAGTGTGTCAGAATGTTGTGTATGGTTTGAAATTTGAATGTATACTTTAATATAACTTAGTCAACCCACCAAAAAAGATGTACTTTTGAAAGCTTGGAATTACCTAAGATTTCCAAAATGCAAGTGAAATGCATGGTTTTCATACCTAACTAATACAAGATATTATAGAAATCTGGGCATCTTGAAAATCAAGGGTAAGAATACATGATAACCAAACAAACCTTATAAGTTACTTCCATATCCAAAAGACTTTCTTATGAATTATGATGACATTACCAATGCAAGTTCTAAGGATAACGTATGAGGGCAATCTTAGAGATAGCTAATACTGAGTTATTACTCAAAGAAAACATGAAAGATCAGATATGAAGGGAAACTAACTCAAGAGTAACAAATTAAAGAGCCAAAGGATACAGGTTGGCAAGAGCGTTAGCACGCAACCTCCACCACCAGCACCGGTCAATTTAGAAGCAAGCTTGTACTTCAAAGTTGTCCTCAGAACAGTTTCGATAGAAGCATGGCTGACTCCCATACATTGGAGCAAGCCTTGATTCATTTCCATCAACTCACCAAGCTTCTCTTCCCTCTCAGTTATTGAAAGCTCATCCAGAGCAGGCGATTGAAGGACATTAGCCAATTCCTTACTGATGGAGTCCACAGCATTGAAAACAAAGCTCATTGCATCAGGATGCCTTATGTTCCTCTCTGAAACCCCAGCAACCAATGCTTTCGTGTTCCTCCCAACCTTGGTGTTAGTAATGAGCATTTTGAGAGGCATGCTTGACTTTATTCGGGTTAGATTGCCAGTTTTGAACTTGATCATGTTGCCTAGTAAAACAGAGCCATGAAAGGGATTGCATGACTTCAGAATCTGTTTCTCAATTATACGCATTGATCTACGAATAGAGTAATCATAGTGGGTGCATACCATATGTGCTAACCGTGTTGTCGATTCCTGATGGTTTCCCATGAATGATTCTTTCACCCTCGAAAGCCCATTTGTTGACAAGATCAAGTTGAAGCTCCTCAAATTCTAACCACCCAGGACGCCTCAGATCGGTCTTAATAGAGTCCGAGAATGCTAGGAGAGCAGCTGAGATTGCAACAGAAAAGGAAGCAGATGAACCAAGGCCTGAACCTAGTGGAAGTTCCGATGTAATGGTTACAGTTGCAGGTCTAAATCTGAAATCCAAATACTCCGCCAACGAGAAAGCAAATATGAGCAATCGGTACAAAGTATTATAAAGTATATTGATCCAGAAACATTTACTTCTATATATACTTACCCTTGAATGCAGGTATAGAGCCAAAGAAATGCAGACACTCCTGTTGCAAGTGCAATTTTAGCCTCTGGAATGCTTTGTTCTTCAACCAAACCTGCAACTAACTTCAATGATTCTGAAGAACATGTGGTCGGTTTTGATGAGAATGGGACTCCTAAATTGGAGAATGCTAGTTTGATTCTCGAAATCGGCCATGAGAACTCCAAAGCCATGTCTTTGAGCTGCAATTTCAGCACATCATCGTGCTCTACAAGGGAAAGAAGAAGAAAACATATCAAAAGAACTTCATGGAATGATATTGATTCCCATTTTCACAAAAACAACTCTCCGCACAAACATCCAAATAACTCCCTTTGCAAACCTCCTTTGTGCCCAATCTAAAAACCTAAGCACATTATTATACAGCTCTTATTAGACCCTATGAAAGATTCAGACTGCCATTCATCAACTCATTGTCCAAGTCGAGAAGAAAATAGAAAGGATCAAACCAATCATGAACTGAGAAACCACCATATTACACATCCATATTTGAATAACACGCAAAAAGTAGCGAACTTTTAGCAACAAATCAAGCCAATCTCAAAAGGGTATCCGTATAATCATCATTCCGAGAAATCCCAATTCGAAAACAAACAAGAGAAGAACACAATCGCCCCTATACTGCAGAACAGGCATTTAATTTGAGGAGTATCTCACCGGGGGAAGTCGGGAACGTGAGGGTGGCGTGAGTGTAGAGATCAATGGAAGCAGCCACCGCTGCGGATCCATGGACAACAGCATGCTCGCCGGAGAGTATGATCTTGCCCGGAGCCCGTGCTTTCACCTCCATAATCTCCCGGCGGGGGTTTTCTCCGGCGAGGAAGTTATCTGTTTTGTTAGGTTTGCCACTGGGCAGTAAAGCAGTTTGATACTTCTAGTTTGATGGGTCTCCCTCACAGCAGTAGTGGAAGTGAAACTGAATGTGATGGATTTATTAGTCGGAATGGAATTTGGAAGGATTCGGGAAATTCAAAATGAATGTTTTTATAATTGATCGGAATCTCCTTCCTCGGAGTCGGAAGAAAACGAGTCAAAAAGCTCGTGCAGTCATCTAATTTATTAGTTTCGTTAATATTGGTCACTTAAAAGTTAAAAACGTTGTCTTGGAAGAAATCTACTTTATTAATTTAGTTAATATTGGTCACTTAAAATTAAAAACGTTGCCTTAATGCTTCCAAGTCACCCACCGGTTTAGGAAGTTGTCTTAAGAAATAGAAGGTTGGAGGCTCGGAGGTGAGAACTGAAAGAAAAGATTGATCGTACGCGGCAAATGAGCAAGTCAAGTCAAATTTTTTCTTAGTTTGAACTTGGTTCGTTTATAAATGTTTTCGCTCGAGCTCGGATCAAATTCGAATTTTGATAATCCAGCTCAAGCTCAGGTCGATTAAAAACAATTTAGCTCGAGCTCAACTCAGTAAAGTTCGGTAAATGCTCATCAACACAGCTTGTCAAATTGAGTACAAGCTCAGCTCAAGATGAGCTCGATTTGAAATAATTCTTGTTGAAAAGTGTGTACACATAAGAATTTAAATGATAAAAAAACACTAGAAACTAAAAATAACAACTAACTTCCATACACATCCTTATTAACAAAATAATGTTCATGTTGAGAAGAGTAATTAATCATTCCACTACCTCTAAACAAGTCAGCTGGCGAGTTTAGCTCAACAAGTCACCGAGTCAAACTAGATCACGAACTTATCAAGTTGAGCATGACCTATCTCAAACTTGACTTGTTTACTAACGAGTCGGCTTGTCAAATAACATTCCGAGTGTCATCTTCTTCTCAATTTGGAATTTTATTAATGCACATATTTTATAAAACCACTCATTTCTCTTTTTGCATTTGATGAGTATGGAGCTCAAGTTACAACAAAGAATATCTTTATATATTATATGAATTCTTTTCATACATACGAATTATTTGTTAGGAATGTTATAATAAAAAATACTTACCTTGATAATTTGTAGGGAGTCATCATCAAAAGAACTTGTGAGATGATGTCCAGAGTTTGAATTTAATATGAATGCAAGCTACCCATGTAGAGATAATAATTTTGACCTAACCGTTTTACTTAACCCGTTTGATTTGTTTTGGAGCGTGTATAGGTACTCTCATCGACTTGGTCTACCCTGATCCGTCCCATTCTTGATCGTTTTTTCCTAAATTACATGTAATCTTAGTCATTTTTCTTGTAATACCTTAAGTTTAGCTATCATACAATTTTAAATAAGTGAAAACATCAATTTCTCCAATAATTTAACTACATTTATCACATTATGGTTTGTTTCTTGGTCTTCTAATGAAAATAATGAAGATTTATTATGTTTTCCATATAAATTACATACCCATTGGGCTGACGTGCCCAACCCGCACCCTATAATAAATTACCTGACTTGCCATTGAATTAATATGAGTATCAACCCGTTGTCGGTTTTCATTTCTAGATGCATGTTATGATACGGAAGTCAATACAAGCATCACTTTTTTTTTTTTTATGGTTAGTGTAACATCCCGAACCTTTTCCCGACAAGATACTGTCCGCTTTGGGCCTCTACACCCGCACGGATTTTGACTTGGGGTGCAATTCAAGGTGACTTCCCATAAGGTCACCCATCCTTGTTGTACTCCACACTGAACACGTTTAACTTTGGAGTTCTCACAAGAACTCCTCCATTACACCCCAAAACGCGTCTTGTCAGTTAAGGACGGTTTCCTACTTATGAACCATGGATCTCTCCCGTGCTTTGTCGATGTGGGATTCGCCTAAGGTGTTACATACACCCCCCCCTCGGGACTCAACGTCCTCGTTGAGGTTTGCCCCACCCTCGTTCAAGAGGGACGCGGAGAGGCTCTGATACCACTTGTAACATCCCGAACCTTTTCCCGACAAGATACTGTCCGCTTTGGGCCTCTACACCCGCACGGATTTTGACTTGGGGTGCAATTCAAAGTGACTTCCCATAAGGTCACCCATCCTTGTTGTACTCCACACTGAGCACGTTTAACTTTGGAGTTCTCACAAGAACTCCTCCATTACACCCCAAAACGCGTCTTGTCAGTTAAGGACGATTTCCTACTTATGAACCATGGATCTCTCCCGTGCTTTGTCGATGTGGGATTCGCCTAAGGTGTTACAGTTAGCATCACATTCATTTGTTGAACAAAGGCGCTACTGATTTTTGTCAGGAACAAAGAAGCTACTTAGTTGGCACATAAAAAGTATGAATGAATCGGAATCACCACAATTTATATTTGGAGTACTTATTTTGACATATTAGTCAACCAAATTATTGATTTGTTAATATACTCTAAAATCATTATAGGTGTGCTATCCATGCGAAAAAAGGGGTAATGACTAATTAGTTTCGGAAACAAAGTGTCCTAATGACTATAAAAACATTAAACATGCGTTAGCTACTTAGCTTAAATTATCAGCTGGCATGCCAGTGGATGAGGCTGGTCAAATTTGTGGGGCACTTGGAAAGAAAAATATGCAATTACAGACAGTTGGACAGTGAACCGGTAAGCCAACTAAACACAAATGGACAATTCCCCAGCAACAACTGCCACTTTAATTTGACCAATTATTGCCTATTTTCTATCCCTTTTCACATATTTAAGAGGAGGGGTTGCCGGTTGCACATGGACAAAAAATTAATATGACCCATAAATAATTATCTTGTTGACAACTATGTCTGAGCAAGACTGAGGGAGGATTGGATCTAAGAGAGTTCATTCCTTGTCTAATTTGAGGTTAAGCACTTGCTTGCTTCTTCACCAAACATTGGTGTTTGTTTTGTTATGCGGTAGGACAATAGGCTAATCCATAGTGCAGCGATGAAAGCCCTCAATCAGGAGGAATGTTAGAGTGTAATAGGGTGGATTCTTGGCTCGGGAGAAAATTAATTAAATTAGATACACCAGTTACTTGATATCGAAACATTAAGACGCATCTAATTGAGAATAGTTGATCGAAAGGTCTTGTGTTTGAATCTTGACGACCTTACTTGTTAAGCATAATAGTCATATTTGTGCAAACTTCAATTTCATATAAGTTGACTTTCATATGAATTATGAGCAGTGTGTTAGTAAATTGTCCTCCAATTAATATACGGAGGTTCTCCCCAACACCACACTTCATTCCCTTTTTCCTGCTCTCTGCGCATAACAAGGAAGGATGCCTTGGTCTTTTCCCAATTAACTAAAGTAGGAGACGGTGGCTTCTAGGTTATTTGTGGGCCTTATTATCCACCTAAAACACAAAATAAGCTTTCTGATTGTATGAACATCGATATTAACTATCTTCCCACTGTATTAAAGAGGTTCTCTCACAGAACACACTCCATTCTAAAATTTGATACCTTGAGTATGAAAATATTATTCAGACCCTAAATTGATTTTATGGTGAATTCTACGGTATCCAGAGTGAAATTTGGGGTACTGCATACCTTAAGTATGAAAATACTATTCAGACCCTAAATTGACTGATGTTTCAGACATGATACTAAAAATCAAAATCTAGGTCTTAATCTCTATATCTTATACCCCAAGATCAGTTTAATTAGAAATAATAATTGACGGTTATGATTCTTCCAAATATAGGGGAAAATGAATGCAATATCTTAAGGTTTATAGTTTATGATTCAAATAATTAGGACCTAGGGTTTACTCATTAGGATATAGTATCAGACACAAAAATCATGCTAATTCGAGGTCTATATAGTGTTTTCATACTCAAGGTATGTGGTATCCCGTATTTCACACGTGGCACCGTAGAAGCAACCTTATTTTTATATATTTTATATTAAAAAAGAGAAAGAAACAATGTATTACAAACAATTTACTAAAAGGATTTTTCTTAATTAGAAATTAAAGTACTATTATTATAAGGTGGAGGATTCAATACAAAATCCTAAAATTTTGTATTTTTACAAAATCTAATAAAATGGTTGTAATTTGATAGAAAAAGATCTAATGATCCATATCAGGGGTAGAGAGGAAATAAGAAATTTTGGGGAGTTTACTGGATTTTTTATGGACAGATGCAGATTCCTAGGCGTTTGTTGATGGACTTTTCAAATCTCACTAGCGTATGCCCCGGCCATTTGGCCGGACGAAGATGAGGTATGAAATTTGATAATATAATGGAGTGTATAGTTTATTGTTGTATAGTTTTTTTTTTTGGGAAACACGTGATAAAAATAGTGAATTTTAGTAGAAAAGAGACATGAATGATGCAACGAATCAAAAATCAGTCTTATGAACCAAAATCAAGTACATGTTACCTTGTGAAACAATATTATTTCTGGTAATATGATGAGGTGGAGTAAGTTTTATAGAAACCGAATTCCAGAAAATCGAATAAAAAATCGCATATCCCGCCGATTTTCGGGAAATGAGCATCTCACAATCGTTGCTAGCTTTTACTCGGCCCGTTGGCCGATTAATTTGCTTTATAAAACTTTCATCTTCTCATCATTGTGCTTTCTGGTTTTTTGCCAAGCCATGATAAAATCTAAAGAAATCAAGAATGAACAGCACGATTTGGGATAGGAACCACCGTTCCCGTATCCCTAGAAAATGGTGGTAAACACGGACTCACCTGCCAAACTGGTTTGGATTGAGATTTTTATAGGGTATCAGATAACCATGTGATTATAAATTAGACTTGATCAAAATGGGCCAAAACTTGAAATTCAGCTTGTTTGACCGACCCATGCCAAACTCTAATTATTCTTTACTTTTAAACTTTATATTTGAAAATAAAAAATAATAAAAGAAAAGAGATGACTGCAATTCACCATTTGCACATCACTGATTCGGGAATAAAACTATAGAATTTCGAAAGGAAACTGAAGATGTTTAGGATCGTTTTAATGTTAAAAATAACCAAATAGATCTTTCTGTTTAGTTTTTTACTAACAAATACCAAACGATTCCCTATAATATACACTATAATTT